AAGAAATAACAAGTGTAATATCCACTAAAGCAAAGCTTAAGTATATAACACTAACATAAGATCCAACATGTTCATAGAGAAGCTAATTTTGCGGCGGACCATTTGGTGGGATTAGCGGCTTCTTCATCGGTTGGGCTACACCGGCTTTCATCTCCTCCATCTGGCCTAGGGGCGTGGCTTCAGCATGATCTTGCGGGGGTCTCTTATCCCCGTCGTGTTCTTGTTTAAACTCCTAAGGCTCTAGCCTTCTTTCATTGTACCAAAAAAAAAAAAAAAGATTCCCAATAATGCTTGGTGGCTTAATTTTGTGCAACTACTTATGTATCTCATATTTAATTTTGGATTAAACGTAGTGCACATAATGTATACTATACTCTATCATGGCATTAAATATTATGGTCACATATCCGAAGAAAGTTTTGAGGATGGTGAATAGTGAAACCATTTCTCATTTGAATTTTAGTGATCAAGTTGTATGTGTAGAATGAATTAAAGAAAAGCAAACTAGACATACATTAAAGAGATCTGCCGATAGAAGCACTAAAATCTTATAACTTATGTACACTAATTTTTGTGGTCTATTCGACACCCCTTCATGGGGTGATGTAAGTATTTAATCACCATCATAAATGTTTCTCACGTTATGGTTATATTTATCTACTACATGAAATGACTCAATCATTGGACTATCCAAAGATATACAATGATGAGATAAAAAGGTAGTTAGATAAATAAGTAAAAGTTGTGAGATCTCCCAAGATTGGTGAATATTATTGTAAGTTAAATAAAAGAGGATAATGTCTTAGTCCATTTGCAAAGTTTCTTAAGATATGAAATATTTGTGTGCAGTACACTATAATTGTGACTCCTCAACATAATGGTGTTGTTGAGGGGATAAACCGTACTTAAAAGGGTATGGTTAGGAGTATGTTGAGTAATTCAACATTAACGTTTTCTATGCAGATGCATGTGTTAAAGATGCTGCATATTAGGTAAATTGGGTTTCTATTAAAGTAGTTCCTAAAATACCTTATGAACTATGGATGGGTAGGGAACCTAGTTTGAGACATTTTCATGTTTGGGGTGTCAAGCAGAAGTAAAAGTATATAATCCACATAAAAAGAAACTTAATCCTAGGACAACCAGTGGTTATTGATTGGCTATCCGGAAAGTTCTAAAGGATATAAGTTTTATGGTCCTAACCATAGTAC